AAAATTTTCACGAGTAATTACGAAGCATATACGCAAATGACAACATCAGTTAATTCGAGAAAACCATCGATGAATTTATAACGGTTTGACTGGTGCATGAAAATTCCTTATACAAGTGCGAATCTTATGCATCGTTGTTATATGGAAAAAGTTGAAATATGATAAGTTAATCGTTATTGATTTTCTCACCTACGTAATTAACGCTATCAATATTTTTTAAATATCCAAAAAAGTGACAAGCGAAAAGATAGCTTCGATATGGAATCGGCTAACGACATATTCAATTTTAAAACTGCTCTTTGACGAAACGACAACAAGAATTTTCCATTTGTGACCTTCAAATAAAAAAACTCATCTTCTTTTTTTCGAAGGAAATCGCCAAAAGAAATCAAGGTTGTAGCAGGCACGATTAATCTCTCAGAAGGAGGTTCCGAACACTTGGTTGAGAAAATCATCATCCACGAAAACTATGCCGCTTCAGATTCTTGGAAAAACGATATTTCATTGATCAAGGTATGCTCTCAAGCACTGATTTTCCTAAGTTAATAGTATCAAGCGGCACAGATATTCTTATTTCGTTATCATTTACTTGTTACAGGTCAAGACACCATTCGTAAAATCGAAGGTGCTTTCTTTCGTTCCCCTTCCATCGCCAGATGATATTCTTCAGGCTAATGATGTGGCAACAGTTTCTGGATGGGGTAGACTTTGGGTAAGTTCTCCATCTTTTTGGAAAAAATATTTTTAATACCCGATAAATACATTTAAATAGCTTTGAATGTTTTAAAATTTCTATCACGTTCTGTATAGTTGTAATATTAATTAACTGCAAATAACTTTGTATCATGCCCCATACTTATGTAATATTACAAATGTACAACTGCAGCAAGGTGGTCCTACGACTGTTTTCCTGCAACGCGCAAACATCTTGATTGCTGATCAAGAATACTGTAAATTGATGTACAGTAAACAATATAAACACATCTACGACTCTCATCTTTGTGCATACGACCCAAGTGTTAAAAAGGGATCATGCCACGTAAGTTACACATGGATTAAAATTATATTACATAACGATTATTTTATTTACGATTATAAATTGGCTTATTTAATCTCATTTATTCCGCTTTAATTATCTTCTCGCGAAAAAGACATAGACGATGTTTCTACGTGATTTCACTCGTATTGTATTTCCACAGAATACCCTTTTACACTAACTGACACCTTCAGTGTAATTAGTTGTACGAATAATTTCAATCGTTCTTTGTAACGCTTCGTAAATTGTAATTCGTAATTACGGCTGCGTGAAATCAACGTAAATTGTCTTTATTCAGGATTTCGCAGCAATTAACGGGGTTTCATGGTTTCACTAAGATTGTTCTTAAAAATTTGATTCTTTCTTTTCTCATAGGGTGACTCTGGTGGCCCCTTGACCGTCAACGGAAAACTCGTTGGTCTCGTTTCTTGGGCAATGGGCTGTGCCCTCACTGACTACCCAACTGTCTACACCCGTGTGACGTCTCATCTTAATTGGATAGAAACACACGCTGTGTAAAGCCAGCAAGTGAAACGTGAACTGGAAGTCGAAGTAAAATACACAAGCACGAAATTCGAATATCTCTTTCCATACAGGCCAAAGTATCTTAACGTTTTAAGGACTGAAAATATTGTAACCTGCATTTAATACTGTATTTTGTACATTTAATTGACAAATAAAGCAAATCGTTTATTTGATAAATTAATATAAATTCTTTAAACCATACTTCTATAAATAGTCCTCTACGTATGTTTGTGTGAACAATCTTTTATTTTACAATATATATAAAAATATTAAATAACGTATTAGTATATTAAATATTTAAAAGGCAAAATTTCTTTTTCCATTCCAATGTGTATAATAAAATAAAATAAAATTATCTATAATACAAAAACAAAAAATACATAATCTACTCGGTAAATAAACACATTATTTAAACAATTAATCGTTTATTCGTATACATACTGGATTTTATCTGATATCGCGGTTATTAATGGGAATTCTTCGAACATTCGAATTTCTTGTAAAAAATAATTAAAAAAGATATGAATGCAATATCAATTATCTAATATCAGAGAAATTATAAAAAAGATTAATGCTTCAAAAGTAACATGTATCGATGATTAAACTGGTTAGATCAATCGCGACTGAGAGCGAATGACAGATAACTATACTGACCTTAACTACAGCAAATACGGCTAATACATGGCTAATATACCGTAATCACGACTATCGGGCTAATCGAAACCTTCAAGTATCCATATTATCATGATATAATAGAATCTATCTTTATTTTCATCCAAATTATTATATGACTATTTTTATTTATAATACAATAATGATAAAATCTCTGTTCCATTTCTCTTCTACAATAATAAATGAATCAAATTAAATTAATATTTAATAAAATTATCAATTGTTCTATAGCGAACGAATATACAGTAGCGGACAAAAGTTTAAGACGATGATTTACAAACCGGATTACAAACATTTTATATGCATATTGTTCTTCTATTCGGTTTGTCTCTTTGGAGTAACATAGCTGTATGTTTCGACAAACTCAGACTATCAATTGTTAAATACAAACAATGTAGGAGTTACAACAGTTAGTTACCGCTTAGCACATGTAAACAGCGGGCATTAGTTTGACGATCTGTGTAAAACGTACGAGTATAATTTTTGAACATTTTGATTCTGGAATGTTAGAATTATTGTTTAGTGTACTTTTTATTGCTTAACACGTTCGTCGCCACGTCACACATATCTATGTGACGGGTATACTTCTGTGGGGCGCCCGTCACCAAAGCATGGGTGACGCTCTTCTTGTTCGAGTTAATTAAACATAGGATATTATATATAGGATATACAACATAAAAATATTAAAAACATATTATACCATACTTTTTATTAATTTATATTCTGGATAATATATTACATTATTCTATATCGCATGGTATTTGTTAAAACATTGCAAACATATTTCGGGTGATTTTGCGCACTTCGAACAATAGTTGTAGACTCCGTCATCACTACTATTCTCACTTTTAAATATATTTTCACACTGTTTACTAAACATTTTGAGGATGAAAAAATCACTAATGTACGTCTCACAAGCATGCTTCTCGACTAAATGAAAGATCTGACATATCTGCCATGAGATCTCTCGGAATACTCTAGCTGGAAAGCTTATCGCTTTCTCCATTTCAGAACTAAATAATCTTTTCTTTTCAATGAATCGAAGGCGATAAACAATGAATCGAAGGCGATAAAGAATGAATCGAAAGCCCGGATTTGGGCTCCGCAGGAAACTTAGCCGAATCACGCTGGGCGACGAACGTGTTAAAATTCATTTAGGTAGCAACAGACTATGGGTAAATCAAAGAATTTACTTGAAAACAAATGGGAACAAATCGTAAGGCTACGAAAGCAGAGTAAAACCTTCACCGAAATAGCAAATATAGTGAACAGACCAGAAACGGCTTGTAAGCAAGCTTGGTATACATTTTGTATGGCATGTATTGCGATCAACCGAAAAACGGAAGACCACGGAAAACAACGCCGAAAATGGATCGCCGGATTCATTGATTGAGCGAAAAGGATCGTTTTCGTAGTGCACATAACATTGCTGCGGAGATAAACTATAAAAACGATACACAAATTAATGCTAGAACTGTTAGGAGAAGATTAGAAGACTTTAACTTAAGAGGACGAAAACCTCAAAAGAAACGATTGCTGAGTTCTAGGAATCGAAAAGACGACTTGCATTTGCTAAAGCTCATAAACATTGGACAAGTGAACATTGACAAAAGATATTGTTTTCAGACGAATCGAAATTCAATCGCGTCTCTTCTGACGGGATACGGCATGATAGACGTCGATTTGGCGAAAGTTTGAAAACACAGTACGTTTTAAAAACTCTTAAACATGGTGGTGGGAACGTTATAGTGTGCGCGTGTTTTTCTCGAGGCTGTCCTGGTCCGATATGTCGTATCAATGGAATTATGGACCACTTTCAATACATGGGCATACTCGAGAACACTATGTTGCCTTTTGCAAGCAACGATGTGAGTGATGATTTTATTTTTCAAAATGATAATGATCCGAAGCACGCGGCTCGGGTTGTGAAATAGTTTTTTTGAAGAAGAAAATATTACCGTGCTGCCGTGGCCGTCGCAATCACCAGACATTAATCCAATCGAGAATTTGTGGAGCATCATAAAAAAGACAGTACAACGTTATAAACCGAGAAATTTAAATGAACTTTACAATTGAAACAGCTTGGAGTAATATTACGGTAGATCACTGTAAAAAATTAATAGATTTTATGCCAAAAAGATGTACCGAAGTGATAAGAAATAACGGATATTGGACAAAATATTGAATTTAAACAAAAATTGTGTATATTTTCTTACCAAAAATTAATATTTTTTGTGTAGTCTTAAACTTTTGATTTAAACTTTTTTGAAATATTATACAGATTTCGTTCCTTTTTTATAACTTAGCTACTGAGCAAAATATCAAAATGAAATTTTTTTTGTAAGTGTACAAACAAATGTCTCATTAGTTAATATCAAAAGTAGAACACTGTATTTATATTTTTTATGGAAAGTAAATCAATTATTTATTTCTTCCATTTCGTCTTAAACTTTTGTCCGCTATTGTACAAATTTAATTAAAAAACGTATTTTATTGATGTAATAGTGATCGCTAACTAAGTTTAGTTATTCCTTGAAATAGATTTGAAAGATTTTTTATTTGCTACGATATTTTTTATCTGTCCCACATTTGATAGAAATACACAGTTTTCGGTGGTTACTGTTATTTGTCAGCAAATAGATGTACTTACTGATAAGAATGTTACTGAAACTTGACTTATCTCAATGTTAACTAAAGATCGATCTATCAAATATTGACCATATTTTTAAATTGCGTTTCACACATCACAATGGGTATATAAGGAACAAATAAACTGATGATAGTGTATTCGATCACATTTCCCTGAATCATTATGAACCATGAATTCGGTGATACTTGGACTGGTGCTTTTAGCTACAGCGTTATCAAGTTCTAATGGTAAGTGGTAATACCAATAAGTTTTAATTGATATTTATAAATTTAAACCTCAACTAACTCGACTCAACTAACTACATTACGAAACCATTATTAGCCGATATATCAACTCACGACTTGGATCCTAGAATCGTGAATGGTGAGGATGCAGGCCCAAACGAACTTCTATACCAGGTACCGAAACTTATTCTTCGCGCAAGAAAACCGAAAACTCAGTCATCAAATAAACGAAATTGAATCGTATCGCGTTATTCGAATAAACTTCTTGTCAAATGAAAATTGAAACATTAAAGATCAGACAGGCTAGACAAACGATAAAAAGCTACGTTATAGAAAAATACTGTTTCTACCTTTATTATTATTCGTTTCTGTTATTCGAAGGTTTCGCTTCAAATCGACGGCAGTCATTTCTGCGGTGGATCTGTGCTTAACAGGTATTACGTTCTCACCGCTGCTCACTGCATCTTGGAGTAAGTTTCGTAATTTCCTATCAAATGGCATCTTCGAATATTGTAACATGATCAGCATTATAAGCCCTATAATACTGTTAACAGTGAACAAGTTAGCGAAGTCAAAATTATCACCGGAACCAAGAACTTAAGCGACTCTCAAACATCCGTGCATCAAGCTGTGAAGTTTATTATTCACTATAAATACAACCCTTCCAATAGCTGGATCAACGACATAGCCTTGATCAAGGTATCTAAACATCAAATGGAAATTTCATATAGAAATTTGCATACATAAACTTATCGTTGGGAAACACATTGCAATTCTATCTTGAGATCTTTCATTTCTTTGGCATAAGTTCTATGCTTTAGCCCACGATAGTTTTAATATTGACATAAAGAATTAATATAATTAATGTAATTTTTCGAACGTCAGATATATCAGAGAAATAATATTTGACGAAAAGATAAGATTTTAATTCATTGGTTATAGCTTCTCATTTTATAATCTAATTATAAGTGTCTTATTTTTCTAGGTAAATAAGCCATTCGAGATCGGACCACAACTAAACTACGTTCCTTTACCGGAAGCAAATCAAAATATTCCAGATAACTCACGCGCTATTGTATCGGGATGGGGTAGGATCAGAGTAAGTGTTAATGTATGTTAAATCAAACGCGCGAACAATAGCTCAAATATTTTTGCCAGTTACTCTAGCTGACGTAGCGTCTCGATTTTACTCAAATATTCTATCGTGCAGGAATACGGACCACTCTCGACGACATTGAAAAAAGCAACCATCTACATTACCAATCAGAATACTTGCAAGAATGCCTATCGAACAATATATGACACGCAAATTTGCGCCAGTAATGACAAGGACGGGAAAGGAGCATGCAACGTAATTAATATTTTCTGTTCTAATATTTTAAAAAATTCATATTCGATCATTCGAAGACTACAAGGGAAGAACATGATAAATCACGTTTCTTATTCTTTGCACGAAAGCAATTTTAAGATTCACTGTGTCATCAATCAACCTCATATTATCAAAATTATTTGCATTTGCTTTTGGATCTAAATATGTGTTCTTGTTAATTCCTTCAAAATTATTTAAATATTGGTCATAATGTTACAGCATCAAAGATATTAACATATTACTTATCTTAATAATTACATATGTCTTTAGCCTCCATAGAATATCACCAATTTATTAACTGTTTTTAAAAGACTTACATCTTTGAACCTAACAGAATATCTTCATTTTCAATTATGTCATATGGAAATTCTCTTGTTTAAACGCAAAGCGACGTTAAAATGAGAAAGTCATCGTGTTCTTCTCCCAGTCTTCACATTTTATTCGCCATCTTTGTGTTATAATTCATGACAATTACGACAATTAATTATACTTTCATAGGGTGATTCTGGTGGCCCTCTCACAGTTAACGGAAAGATTGTCGGGATCGTATCATGGTCACGGGGATGTGCTCTTTCTAATTACCCCTCTGTGTACACTCGTGTTCCTTCTTACATTGATTGGATTCAAGCAAACGCAGTTTAAAATAGAAGAAGATGGAAACTGTACGACATAACACAAAGTACACAGCTAATTGTTGATAGAGATGTATTGTTAGCAGAACATTACTCACTATTCATTTGTCCTTAATATCAATTTATATTTTTAACCAATTATTCTATATAACGTATTAAAGAGAAGAATAAAAGGATATAGTTCATCATACGACAACATTTAAATCGCAATAGTATCTATAACAATAGATAATTAATTTTATGTGTAAATTATAATAAAAGGACGTTATAAATTACCACACATACTTGGTTATTGATATGCCATTTCAGCTCACAGCTCCAATTCGTATACATCGAATAACAAAAGATATTCCTCTGTGAAATTTTTATTGACGGATGTTTTACCAACGTATCTCTTACATTTGAGTTACTCTCAAACGTTCACTGTTCAGCATTCGCAACGACGTTTTGTTACAACACGCGAACAAAACTCTCAAAACAAGTTAACTTTAATGCACGTTAAAAACGCTACACAGACAGTAGCAGGTATACTAAGTCCACCGAACTCAACGTGGATAATCCCAGATGCGAAATATGTAGCACTATTTAATTAGATTGCACACAATACGGACATTAGCGGGACCTAGTTCTACAGTATATAGACAATAATAGGCTTATCTGACATCATCACACAAAATAATACGAATCATTCAAATTCGATATAGGTAATTCTAAACTCAACTGACTCAATGGTACCAAATCGAGCGGACAATTTTACTATTTCTTTTTTTTTTTTTTAACACTTTGACTGCCACGCCGAAATCACGTGTTTCGTTCAGGACGTCACGGGAATATTTTTATTATCCAAAGCATATAATAATAAATCGATGATGTAAGACAACATTCTTTCCCAATGGACCGTTTATCTTATTGGCGGTCACGGGTGACCACCGTGACGCTTTGGTAATAGTTGATAGCGACATATTATAACAAGGCTTCGTTTATTTCAACAAACCATTAGCATTCGTTATTTCGTCGTAAGCAAAACGTGCAGAATATATTGTTGAATATATTGTAGAAAATATTAGTAACAGTATTTGCTCATTCTATATATAATAGAAAGGTATGTGCATACTTCTAACTTCAATTATATGATTATAAAGCAACATTTACGATTATTTTCTAAGCTGTGTTTATAATAATATTCGTAGATTACCCCTCGAAGATATGGATGCAAACACAGTGCACCGTTAGATGCAAGATTTGTTTTCATTTCTTTTTATTGATGTTCTAATAAAAATGTTTAATTGTTCAATGGGGCACTTTTTATTTCAAAGGATCTTCTATTTATCGGTTATATTCAAAATACCTTAACTGTCAATTTTCATACAATTTTTACAATTGTAAGAAGTTCAAGCACTCCGGTCACCAATGACCACCGTGGTGTCACAGGAGAAACCGTGGCCGGTCATATATGACCAACGTGGCAGTCAAAGTGTTAATAGTCGCTTAAAAATATGCAAATGCATCTGAGTGGCCATAAATTCAAATAACGCTATTAATCATTGAACAGTTTCGTTATCGAGAGATCTTCTTCCACTTTAAAGAAGATTAAAGAAGATCCACTTAAAGTAGATTCATTGTCATCAATTCACACATCAATTATAGCACAGATCTAATCTGAGACCTGATAAGACAATATATAGAGATATCGTAGACCTTGAAGATTCACAAAATCTAACAAGAATCCACGTAATCTGTAAAATCATTGAAAACTTAACGTTGTTACCTAGTCACGATTGAACTTGTGTTTCCATGAACAAAGCTATGTCGTTCGATTTTGTATAAAACAGCCGGTGGCATGCATTGATTTCTCCATAAAATGGCCGAAAAATGTATTAAGATCCGAAGGAGAGCTAATCCGTGTTGCTCGTGTGACACTGATAATCATTAATAACTTCGTTTGATTTATGACAGAGATTCATAGTTGTACTCGTAACATTGGCGATAGATAGATACACGAGGTGACTAGTTTCTTGTGACACGAACGCGATCGCGCGAATAATCCGAACGTATTACGAGCACGTGAATTATGGCGTTATTGGACTTCACCGGCCTTGCATAAACACAAATGCGGAATCAGAATGCAATCGATGTTAGCTCAGCTGTCAATTCGATGAAAACATTTGGACACTGGACACGACTGTGATTGCGTGTAACGATGTATAAACTTAAAAATCATTGAATTGTTAATTACAGTTGATCAACGATAAACAGAAAGTAAAGGGAGTATTGTAAATATAGCTAACAATCTGAAAAGTCATTATAAATGATAGATTGTGAAGGTTTGCACGTTGGAAAATTAACTTTACCCCTGTAACTTTGCAACTCTCGTTTCTTCTGTAACAAATATTCCATTAAAACAAATTATTTTCGTCTTGATTGTTTATTTTAGGATCAAAAATAAAAGAAAAATTCATTCGATCATTCCTTAATAAATGACGTTATATATCGTATCGTGACTATCATGACAGGATCGTATAACGCGAAACTGCTCGAGGCTAGTTGCAGTAATGACTACCTGTGAAAAGGGAAAACTCATCTGCGAAACGAATTCGTTTCCTTTGCCTCTTTCGTTTACTCGGGGGTTCATTTTGGTGGCAAGGGTCAATAGATATTTGAACGAGGAAAACTTCTCGGTTTTCGTGATGTGCAATTGTATCTTACGTTGATATTCCATTGCAAAAGTGGTTTCGTATCGTTCCATCAACGTACATAAATATGTACATCCATACATGTATAAAAAAATTAATAAAAAATAAACGGAACACAAAGCAAAAATGCAATTCGTAAACTCATGCGTGTACCTACACGTTTACGTAGTGCATTCGAGTCATTGATTTAAATTTAAAGTAGAATTTATCGAGTGATCTGCGCTCCCTGGAAATTTTTCGATATATCAACCGATAGTGTTTAAATAAAGCGAATAACTGACAGAGAAAATTTTTCTTTCTGTTTAAAATCAATGTTTGGAAATATCCTGTTCGTGATGTTTATTAACGCACGAAAGATTACGAACAAACGACTTATTCAAACGAATATAACCGTTCCAATTCTGATTTTGATTTTGCGTTGAATATCCATGAGACAGGCAGTAAAACACGAAATAACGGGTCAGTTAATACAGCGAAATCAATAACACCATGACGTTCATACGATGGTCTCATTTCCGATGCTACTTGTACGAATCGATTAATACATATGTTTCATTCGAGTTTTAGGAAATCGAGCAACTCGACGAGAAAATCTAAACGAACTTGTAATGATTAATTTCACGGGATATTAAATATCGAAAAATTTCTTGGGCGACGACTAATTTTCAGAAAAAAATGTCTACGTCGAACATCGAACAAAGTTGAGGATCAAGAGAACACGATTTAACTTACTTTGAAATTTCTTTACTTCCAAGTCGCTTAACGACTCTTAATAGGTTCGAAATAAGTTTTACAATGAATATAAATTTGCGAATATTTCGTTCATAATTTGATTCTTAGGGGACAGGATTCCGTTCATGACGACGTCAAAGCGTTTCTTCTCTTCTTTTCTTTACAATTTTATTCTTAAACAGCAGGAAAGTTTGCTCAAAGCTTTCATTTAGGAATAGAAATTAACTTCATTGTACATATATCGCAAGCTACCATGGTGCGCAATACATTTTCACAAGTATCGTAAAATTTTCATTCATAATAGAAACCGGTGTACAGCGGTGGTGAAAAATGTTCGCATGTCGAGAGAAGGAAAGCCGAGAGGAATATCATTGTATAAGGAAAAATTCCCACGAGAAATTCTATTGCGAGTAACGCAATGACTTCGTGACACAAGCATGTCATGATGGCAGACTTTCATAAATCATTGTATTTTAGAGACACAACAAAAATTGAGGAACAATGGCACAAAAGACGCGCGAAAATAAGCCTTTTCTTTGGATACATAAAGAAATCTTTTGAACAAGAAACTCCTCTCTTTTCTATACGAAACGTTAACGAAAAAGATAAATGTGAAAATCATTAAACATTAATCAATTAATCTGTAACGACGTTTATGCTATCGAATGTACCACGTGATAAAAATAAAGACAAAGTATAAGTGAACGTAAATTATTTTGTTACTAAAAGGGGAAAACGGTTCTCCTCGCGCGTAAATATAATACTTGATTAAAAGCAGGACACGAGCACAGTGTTTGTTGTAAAAAGCACAAAGGATAGACCAAAGGAAAACCATAAAATGAAATTTGGGAATAGAATGTATAATAAGGCCGGCTCTTTGAGACACGGTCGAAAGGATTGCAACGTTGACAACTTCCAGGAAGTGGCTTACGAAATTTTGCGGCCACATTAAACATTGGTGTTTGATGGTGGACGCTTTAATCTCACAAACGAAATAATCGAGCCAGGCGTTATGAAGAAGGAGCATCGTTCCTCTTGCAAATGGATCCTTTTGTACAACCACGAAATAGCTCTAAAACCTTCAGACGTTTATTTTATGATGAATCTTTATGACACAATGTAAATTATGTAAATTCAGTAGGAAATTAATCACGAGAACCAGGATATCTAAATATTTCTATTGTGGTTGAAAAAAATATCCGAAGTTGATATTTTTGTTTGACTATTTTTACAAGCTTATTTATTTAAAAAGTCAGCGATGTTTTTTTAAATAGTATTATACAGCTGTTTTTAAGTTTCATTTAATCTCATAGCGTCATGGCCGATGTCAAGGTGATTTTAAAACGAGCGTTCAACCTATGCTTTTAGTGTATGCTTTCAACCTAAGCTTTTAGCCCATGAGTAAGAAATCTAGATTTAATTAATCAGCATTACATACCAGTCATCATTCAAACGACATACTTTTCCACGTTAATGCTTCCATTATCATAACTACGAGTTATGAGAATTGTTTTCTTCGTTCTTTCAATACGATAACTGCATATGCATTTTATTCCTATTTAGTTTATGTAAATATTTAAAATGACTTAAATTAGGGCTTCAATCAATTTAAAGTTTCTTTCGGCATTAGTTCAAGCTCAATATTTTTTAAGACACCGTGAATACGAGAAGAAAAGATCTAACAGCGCGATCTGAGAAGCAAGTTTTATATAAAAAGGTAAATATGTACAATTGGTACATTCGCAAACATCTGTGAGAAAATGTGTCGTCAAAGTATCAAAGAGTATGGAAACATAGTAATTCGCAGGTTGCACGTACGCAAGGAAATATCGTGGCAACCGAAGCATTTACAA